GCTGCGTTCCAATAAAGCATCATTGGCAAAAGTAGACAGATGGGCTGGGCCTGGCCTGAGGGCCAGTTTGCCCACCTTGCCGTCAGGTGTCAGGGAGGTAGCACAGCAGGAAGTAACTGAATCCCTGTCCTGAAAAAACAACAGGAAGCACTGAAACTCACACCCTGAGGAGGGGCGCTCCTGCACTGCAGTGCTAGGGAGCTGTGAACCGAATTCAAGGTGTGGAAGCGGCTGGGGTGGGAGGACAGGCTCAACCCCTTCTGCCTCCTCCAGCCTTGCAGCCTCCAGTACTAGCGCCCTCCACTGGCAGCGCCCAACAGGAAGCAGCCTGGCAAAGCAGGACGGTGGGTTGCACAAAGCCGGGTGGAGAGAGTGGGTTTGGAGCGGAGGAAGAGTCACAAATGCTTTGATTGGTTTGGGGGCATTTAGACAACCTTCTGTCATTTGCCCAGGTGGCTCGTCATCTGAATTCTTCCTGAATTCATCCCGGAAATTGAACAGCTGCCAGGGTCTGTGGTGGTTGGGAGACGTCTCTAACAAGTGGGTGTCTCTGCTGGGAGTGAGGGGGAGGAGGAAGAGGAGGGAAGGACAGTACAAAGACTCTGGGAGGAGCATCTTGCAGCATCCCAGCCTCCTGTTCTGGCTTCAGAGCAAAACCCAGATCTGACTGCCTCTCTCCCGCCACTCAGCCCCACCTGCAGCTTGTTGTGGGCTCCTTGGTCCCCACGGCCACTCCTGTACCTGTGATCTGTTCTGATCCAGCCCCTGGCCTGGCCCACAGGCCCTTCAGGGCTCTGGTCCTGCCCTGTGCGTCTCCTCCCCTCCTGCCTACTCCAGCCTCCCTGGACGCTGTGAGCTGCCTCCCACCCCAGGGACTATACCTGCCGGTCCCTCAGCCTGGAACCTCCACCTGGGTCGTGTCCTGTCTCCTCACAGTGCAGGGTCTGCCTGCAGTCTAATTTTTCACCATTGCCAGCTTGTCACTGCCTGGCATTAGTGTTTAGTCACTGCTGAATTTGCAAAGCTTGACCCACACTCGACCAGTGGAGGGCGCTCAGCGAACATGAAAACATGGGCCTTCAAACAGTCCATGGAAAAATGGAATGAAGATGCAAGCTTGTTTTGGTGCAAAAAATATCTAAAAATCCATGCATGCAATTCAAAAGGGTCAAGAAAAGTGACTATTAAGAAAACAGTATGCATGGACTTAAAATAAACTTACCTTTTCATTCCATTTTTTCAAGGACCTCCTGGTATTTGTTGAATGGATGAGTGAATGGGCAGGTGGAAAGGGCAGAGTGGCTACAGCGTGGGGATAGAGGACAAGGTGTGGGCATGAGGCAGGTGAGGCCGTCTAGGGGCTGAGAGGAGAACCTCAGGAAGACAGCATGGGGCGGGACCATGTGGGCTGGGGAAGGGACAGTGAGAAGCTTGGGTGACAAGGTAGAGGCAGTGGAGGCCATGACTGCAGGTGTGGCCAGCTGCTGCCTGGGTAGCCCCGGGGGCGGAGACAGCTCTGCAGCCATGATGATGGCTGTGCAGGTGTGGGCAGTGGAGGCACAGAGGAGCCACTCTAGTTGTAGTTTAAAGGGTCGAGTCAGGAGGGCAGAGGGAGGGTCCTGTGCAAGGGAGAGGGAGGCTTGTGCCAGGGTGACTCTGGGTGCGAGGCAGTGTTTGGAGGAGGTCCGAGGACCCTCTTGTTCTTCCTGTGCCCATTTCCTGAGCCCCCGGGATCCAGCAGGGAGCCACACCTGCACCTGACTTCAGGTGCTCCAGCTGCACAGGGCTTAGGGCAGCAGACAGGTAAGGCACCCTCAGAGGGGACGTGTTTGTAAATCCCGGCGTCTGCTAACCAAGGTGGTCACCCTTTCTCTGCCTCAGTTTGTTCTCGCATAGAATGGTGGAAATGCAGGCAGTCCCAACGAGCTCCGCGGGGGAGAGCCCTGGAGGTCACTGCATCGTGTGGCCTGCATGAGGATCCTTTGCAGCACCCGGGAGAAGAGGCCTCTGCGTCTGGGAGGGCCCCCGGGGAAGCAGTGCCATTCCCGGGCTCCCTCGGAGGAGGATGGGATGTGAAGGGCAGCAGGTGCTGCTCTGAGTTGCCCTGGGCGGTGCTGGAGACACACGGCGACCCCGGCCAGCCCTGCCTCCGAAAGGCTGGTGGTGGGATAGCAGAGGCGCAGAAGCCCATCCTCTCCAAACTGAGCCGAGTGCCAAGATCCAGTGGTGTCCAGGTGTGGGGGGTCCGTGGAAGCTTCCCAGGAGGGAAGGGTGGGATCCAGCTTTGTGGGGTGGAGGGGTGTGGCAGGCAAAGCAAGCAGCCAGCGATGGCGTGGGGATGCCAGTCAGAGAGGCTGGGCTTGGTCAAAGCCAGGCAGCGTTTGCCGGGAACTCAGTGTATACAGAGCTTGTGACACAGACGGGGGGTCGTCAGCAAGCAGGCAGGCGAGACCTTCTCCACTGGCCCCCAGAAGGCCAGAGTGACGTGAGAGAGGACCCGGGGGTGGGGGTGAGGTGGGGTCTGCAGGCTGCTTTGGGGAGGGCTGAGGGGCGGGGTCTAAGCCTGAAATGATGAGGGGATGGCGGGGGAAGTATGAGAGCCCTGAGGTGGAGAATGAGCCTGCCGTGTGGAAGGGCGAGACGCGGCCACCGTGGTCGGGCCCGGGCGGGTGCGTCTCGGATCACGCAAGGCACATGGGCCACAAAACGGTTTTGTCTGAGGAGCTGTGACTGGATTGGGGCTTGTGAGTGGCGGCAGTGAGGAGGTGGTTGTTGGGAGAGATGCTGGTGGCCTAGGCCTGGACAGAGCCAGAGCCGCTGTCCTCCTCGTTGGGAAGAGGTCCTGGCGGGGGATGGGGAGTGGAGATGGGCAGGGGCATTCTGGAGGACCCCCAGGCCAGCGGAAAGACTGCTGCTTCCCCCTCTCTGGCATAGGCACTGAGGCCACTGTGGGGGCCTTGCAGGGTGGACCTCCGTGGAGGACTCCTGGGTCAGCGGTGACTGTTCCCACAGTGGTTCCCGGTCACGAGAGTGACAAGGACACAGGACTAGGATGACAGCTGCGCATGCTCACTCCCGGGAATTCCCCGAGTCACCCTGGACGCAGCCACATGTTGGGCGCCGGCCATGTCACGGCCTTGGGGCTGTGCCCTGTCCCTCGGCTCCTATGTTGTCCTGGGCCAGCGCCATCTCACTCTTACTCTGGGCCCCGTGCCGCCTCTGTCAGCTCTTGGCTCTGCTTGTGGGAGAGGAGTTGCCTTTGGGATCCGCCTCTGCTCTCCCGGCCCTGGACTGCCTCTCGGGCCATCTGCCGGCTCCATGATCTGGGGTCTGGTTTTCAGCCTATGCCACCTCTGTCTGCCTGGCTTGTAGCCTTTGGGCCTGAGCCGTCTCTCACTGACCTCTGCTGCGTTCAGGACTTGAGCCATCATCTTTCTACGCGTTGGCACCTGTGTCACCTGCTAAGCGTGGGTTCTGTTTTAGGCCCAGCTGCGGGTTGGATTGGGGCTGTACATGGATTGTTCTCTGGCCTGCACCCCCTCTCCCCATGCCAGGCTGTCTCTAAGGCGTGTGCCTGTCTCCCTGGCCCGCTGCTGCCCGGGCCTCCTGCCCTCACACACTCACAGTCTCAACCCCTTCAGGATCTTGGCCCTCACGTCAGCTCCAGGATGCGGTCCCTGCTTGAATTTGGGCTTGGGGACCCCTGCACTTCCAGCTTGATTCTGGGACCCAGTTGAGGCCTGGGGGATGGAGGAGGCATTCCTGGACTAGGAGCTGTGGGGGGTGCTGGGCCCAATATCTTCTTTCTACAGATGGACAAACTGAGCCCAGAGGCGTGAAAGTTCTGGCCTGAGGCCATTGCATATGCCCTGGCTGCACCGTGTGTGTGTGTGTGTGTGTGTGAGAGAGAGAGAGAGAGTGAGTGTGTGAGTGTGTGTGTGTGAGAGTGTGTGTGTCTGAGTGTGTGTGTATGAGAGTGAGTGTGTGTGAGAGTGTGTGTGTGTGTGTGACTGTGTATGAGAGTGAGTGTGTGTGACTGTGTGTGTATGAGAGTGAGTGTGTGTGTGAGTGTGTGTATGAGAGTGAGTGAGTGTGTGTGTGTGTGTGTGGCCTGTGCCTCCAGGGAATGCCCCCTGGGTCTGCTTTGTGCTGTAGTCTGCATTCACCGAGTCCCCGGGTGCCTGCGTGTGAAGCACACACGTGTGGTGGTGTGGAAGTAACCGCACAGTCTCATGTGCAGAGTGTGTGTGGGGGGGGAGGTGGAGGAGGAGCCAGGCCCCTCCCCAGCCTTAAGGCCGGCTCAAGTCCCCGTGGGCCAGAGTGAGATGGCCCATTTGGATCAGCCTGCACATTCCTAGGGAATTCTGGGTGTGCCAGCCAGGCCCCGCTTCAGACATGGACTCCACACCCTCCGCAACTCGGGGCCACCCCTGGTCATTATCTCAGCTGAGCTGTGCGCTGGTCCTGGGTCTCGGGGCTGCCTTCACACTCACATGTAGGTCGCCGTGCCTGCGGGGGGGGGCAGGGGAGTAGCAGCTGTGTCCCTGGCTCCCACCTCTCCTCAGTCGTGTCTTTGCCTTCCTGAAACTCAGTTTCCCCATCTATAAAGCAGGGTGGCTGATGGGAGGGGCATCCAGGACGCTGGACGTGAAGTGTTGAGTGAGGCTGGGTGTGCAGCCAGTGCTCCGTGAAGGTACCCATCGTTCATTGTGAACATGGAGGTGAAACCCAGGGTGGGGCGTGGCTGCGTGCGGGGCAGATGAAACAGGGCCCTAAGATGAACTCGACGTGGGAGGGGACAGGAGGGAGTAGGTGGGGGAGGGCTGCTGGGCAGGGAAGTGGCCCGGGAACCCGAGTTCAGGAGGCGACTCACGAGGCCAGCCCAGGCTCCTGGCCCCTCCTGTCCTCCTCTCTCTGCCACTCTCCTTCAGTGCATTTCTCTCTAAGTGCCCATCTCTGTCTCCCCCGGCCCCTCTGCCCCCACCCCACTTCCCCTCCAGCAGAAGGCAGACCTGGCTGTGGCTGCGTTCACCATCACAGCCGAGCGGGAGAAGGTCATCGACTTCTCCAAACCCTTCATGACCCTGGGCATCAGCATCCTCTACCGAGTGCACATGGTATGTCCTGGAGAGCGCCGGGGCTGGGTCCGGGGGCTGCAGGCCAAACCTCAGGGGGCCTGTCTGGCTCTGGGTCTCTGGCAGGGGGCAGGAGCGTGGGGTGTGGCTCAGGGCTCACTCCGTTTTCCCGCCAGGGTCGCAAGCCTGGCTACTTCTCCTTCCTGGACCCCTTCTCCCCTGCCGTGTGGCTCTTCATGCTTCTCGCCTACCTGGCTGTCAGCTGTGTCCTGTTCCTGGCTGCCAGGTGAGTCCACTGCCTACTGCTTGGGAGGGAGGGGCGGGGCCTCTGCCCTGTGGCTCTGACTTGTCTGCAGTTGTCTGGCTGGGCCTCCTGTTCACCCCTGTCGTCCCTGTCACCCCTGTCACCCCTGTCGTCTGTCACCCCTGTCGTCCCTGTCATCCCTGTCCCTGTCACCCCTGTCGTCTGTCACCCCTGTCGTCCCATCACCCCTGTCGTCCCTGTCATCCCTGTCCCTGACACCCCTGTCACCCCGTCACCCCATCACCCCTGTCGTCCCTGTCACCCCTGTCATTCCTGTCCTCCCTGTGACCCCTGTCATCCCTGTCGTCCCTGTCACCCTTGTCACCCCTGTCGTCCCGTCACCCCTGTCACCCCATCACCCCTGTTGTCCCTGACACCCCTGTCACCCCGTCACCCCATCACCCCTGTCGTCCCTGTCACCCCTGTCATTCCTGTCCTCCCTGTGACCCCTGTCACCCCTGTTGTCCCTGTCACCCCTGTCATCCCTGTCGTCCCTGTTGTCCCTGTTGTCCCGGTCATCCCTGTCGTCCCTGTCACCCCTGTCGTCCCTGTCACCCCTGTCATTCCATCACCCCTATCGCCCCTGTCACCCCTGTTGTCCCTGTCACCCGTCACCCCTGTCGTCCCTGTCACCCCTGTCGCCCCTATCGTCCCTGTCACCCCTGTCATCCCTGTCGTCCCTGTCACCCCTGTCTTCCCTGTCACCCCTGTCGTCCCTGTCACCCCTATCGTCCCTGTCACCCCTGTCTTCCCTGTCACCCCTATCGTCCCTGTCACCCCTATTGTCCCTGTCACCCCTGTTGTCCCTTTTCCTCTCCTTTGGCTGCCTCCCCACCTTTTTTTTTAAGATTTATTTATTTATTTGAAAGTGAGAGTTACAGGGAGAGAGGGAGAGAGACAGAGAGGGGTCTTCCATCCACTGATTCACTCCCCAAATGCCACAATGGCTGTGGCTGGACCAGGCCAAAGGCAGCAGCCAGGAGCCTCTTCCAGGTCTCCCACATAGGTGGCAGGGGCCCAAGCACTTGGGCCATCCTCAGCTGCTTTCCCAGGCTACCAGCCGGGAGCTGGATAGGAAGTGGAGCAGCCGGGACGTGAACTGGGGCCCTTATGGGATGCCAGTGTCACCAGGCGGTGACGTTACCTGCTGCGCCACAGTGTCGGCCTCTCCTCCCCACCTTTTGTCTCCTTGTTTCTCTGCTTTCCTCCCACCTGGGCCCCATCCACCCACCCTTGTCTCTGCAGGCTGAGCCCCTACGAGTGGTACAACCCGCACCCGTGCCTGCGGGCGCGGCCCCACATCCTGGAGAACCAGTACACACTGGGCAACAGCCTCTGGTTCCCCGTGGGGGGCTTCATGCAGCAGGGCTCGGAGATCATGCCCCGGGCGCTGTCCACACGCTGCGTCAGCGGAGTCTGGTGAGCGACTGCTGTCTTCCCACACCCAGGGCTGCGAGGGGCTGGTCTGCGGAGGGGCGCTGGGCGCTGCTGCAGGCGCTCGGGTGGATCCCCGTTCCCCAGCGCGCTGTGTGTCAGCGAAGGGCGTGGGAGAGCTGTGCCTTCAGCGCTGCCACCAGCCAGCTGTGTGGCCTCAGAGGGGCCACATCCCCTCGCTGTACCTCAGTCTCCTTATCTGAGGAATGGGGATAAAAATGGCCGTGTCTTCAGTGGGGCATTCTTGGGGGAGTGCTGAGCTGGACACGAGGGTCATGGTGGTAGCAGCCTGGGCGTGGCTGTTGCTACCCCGATTATCACAGACTTAAAGAGTCCCTGAGCCAGGGCAGCCCTCATGCCAGACACTCCCTCAGTGCCCCCCGGGGCCCCTGATATGAACCTCAAGAAGTGATGTCCACTCACAGCTTTAAAAAATGTGGAATTGGTTGCTGACACTTAAACTTGGCAGATACATGCACGAATGCCCGTTTCCCACTCTTCCTGAAAATCCAGATGTGGCCGCGCTGGCCGGCGGCACTCACGCCTGGTGCTGGCGCCTGCTCCAGCTGCCTCAGGTCCTTGGTTTCCGGCCTCGGCTCCATAAGCATTCACGTCGGCTGCCCTTGCCCTGCTTTTCTTCTGTTTGTTTGAGAGAGACCGAGAGTGTGCGCCCACGTCCTGCTTCACTCCCCACAGGACTGCCCTGTGGCTGAAGCTAAGAGTTGGGTCCTCAGTCCAGGTCTCCCACGGGGGCAGCAGGAACCCAGCTACTTGAGCCATCACCTCTGCCTCCCAGGGTGCACATTAGCAGGAAGGTGGAGCCGGGCATCAGACCCAGGCCCTCCTCTGGCGTGGGCTGCCAGCACCTGGCCTGCCTGGCCGCCCGCCCACCCTCGCCCACCCTCACCCTGCTCTTTCCCGTAGCAGCTGGGCTGGGCTCTGGTCCTGTGGCTCTCTCACCTGCTTTCCCTCGCTAGAACATGGGAAGCTGAGAAGAATGCTCAGGCAGGGAATATTCTCCCCATTTTAAGGATTAGAAGGTTGAGACCCAGAGAGAGGGAGTAACTTGCTAAAGAGCAAGCATCCAGCCCCCGAGGCTCTTGGCAGCCTCTCTGGGGCGGCCCCCGGCATGCATCTGGCCTTCCTGGGCTCTTCCTCCTCGGTGCCTCCCCGTCAGAATCCAAGCACACCCAGTGCCTGGTGAGCCCCAACACGAGTGGCAGGCGTCCAGGTGCCTCGTCCCTGCCCCGGGAGCCACTTCAACTCTGGAGGCCACACTCTGTTCAAAGAACACATCCCAGAGCTACTGATGGGAGACTTGCGCGAGACTGGCCTTAACGGATGGCGGGTTCTCCTTTCTCCCAGCTAAGTGGGCGTGGCCTGAGTCCCACAGATCCACTGGCAGGGACACTTTTGAGTCTTGATGCTTTTTTTGTTAGCGTTTTCAGATCTGCGTCATTTCAGTTTCCATGGCTACTGCGAAAACTTCACACTAAGGTGGCGGCTTCAGGCCGCAGTTTGTTCTCTGACAGCTTGGGGAGCGCAGACGTTAGAAGTAGAACTCGGTGTCGGGCACGCGGGCTCCTTCTGCAGGCTCCCAGGGAGTCCCTCCCTTTGCCTCTCCAGCTTTTGGAGCCACCTGCAGTCCCTGGGCCGTGGCCTTTCCTCCATCCTCAAAGCCAGCGTCACCTGTGCAGCGCGCTCTCCGTCTCTGTCTCTCAGTCTCCCCGCTCCCGGCTTCCTTTCTCTGCTCTTCAGGATCCCTGAAGGCCACTGGATAATCACTGAGGCCACCTGGACAATCAGGGCCAGCCCCTGTCAAGAGCCTCCGCTGAGTCACACTTGCAAAGGGATTGGGATGGCGAATTGGTGGGGCTGGGGCTGGGGCTGGTGGTGGGAGGGGGCTGGTCCCATGTCCCACAAACCCCAGATGCCATGTCCTAATGTCTTCAGCACAGTGATGGGTCAGATGCACATCGTGTGCCACTGAGGAAGCAGAGGGGATGCAGGGACAGAGAAAGGCGTGGCCAGAGGGTCCCCTCCCCCAAGGAGAGGAAAGTGCATTCCAGCAGGTGGGCAAGGGTGCATGGGCACTGCAGAGACCTGCGGGCCCTGTCTGGTCCAGTCCCCACCTCAGACGCTGGCCATCCTTCCAGCCCCAGTCTTTTTAGCCCCTCCTTGGCGCTGTCACCCAGGAAGCCCCTGCTCCCACTCTCCGTGGCTGGAGCCTTTGACCCCAGGCTCACTTCCTTCCGCGCCCTAGGCCTTCCATCCCCAGCATGTTTGCTCCTCTCCAGGCGGGCCCCAGCACAGTGATTTGGCCCCCATGTCCCTGCCCTGTGGGACTTACTCTCCAGGGGTGGGGTGCTGGGGGGTTTGGTGACTGGTTGCTGACCCACAATAGCCTGGCCAGGGCCTGCCTCCTGGGCCCTCCTCTGCAGTGTGCACACACTCATCATCCAGGACAGCTCTGCTGCAGAAGCCAGCATTTCCAAGGCTTCGCTCTGACCACAGCCCCGTCCTCCTGTCTTTCCTTGGTCCCTGTGTGTGAGCCCTTGGCCTCCTGCCCTCCTGCCCCATTCTAGAGCCCGCTTCCCGTCCGCCCAGCTCCAGGCAGGCAGCTGTTGTCTTCACTTCCCCAGCTCGTCCTTTTTTCGAGCCTTCCTGGCGAGAAAATCGTAGAGCCCCAGATCCAGCCAGCAGGTGGACCTCCCTCCACCAGGGTCACAGGCGACCCCTGGCTGATACGTCCAGTCCCTGTCTGACCTGCGGGCAGCACAGGCCCCGGGAGCCTCCTTTTCCGGAAACGCTTTCTGTGCTGCTCCAGGGCTGCTCCTGCTCTCGGGTCCTCTGCTGGGCTTGGGTTCCCATGGCCTCGCCATCCCTCCAGTGTGCCCCACCCCACACTGGTGACCGCCCAGGGCTCACACACCCAACGCCCTCTCTGATCGCAAATGTTTCTTAACATCTCCTTTTCCACCCTGAGCTGAAATCCAAGGTACTACACCTACCTGCACTTAGAAGGTTTTAAAAACCAGTAGACTGCCCTAATTGCAATATGAAGGAGGAAAATAGGCAGAGCAGTCTCTAATAAAATGACAGCACTAAGGGGCTGCTCAGGTGCGTGCCCTAAGGGTGGCTCCGCATGCAGTGAGTAGGTGTGGAATGGTGAGACGATCACTCAGTAGAATTCCGTCAACACTGGCACTTTGAAGTAGGTGGCAAGTAAGTGTGTTTGCATCCACGAGTCACCATGGATGTGCTGCCCAAGGTTCTGCCTTAGTCACTCACATACAGAGTGACCAGAAATCTCCCAAAACGGTGATGAGCTCTCGGCAGAGCGAAACTAAACAGCATCCCGTTGTTCCTCACTGTGAGCAGGAAGTGTCTTCCTGGAGACCTGGATTTACTTATGCTGTAAAACCATGTGGCAAGTACCTGGGTTTTTAGGTACCGAGGGCTTGGGCTCAGACAATCACATACGAGGCTGTTGCTGGGGTTCAGACGGGGCTGCACATTGCCAGATGCTCACCTCGCTGTGGAAGCCCCTCTGACCGGCGGAGCGCCCACACTGCCAAACTCCCTGCCAGAGCTGCTGCCAGAACCCACACACCCGGCTCTGGCTTCCTTGACTGTCCCTGTATCTGCACTTCCACCTGCCCACTGCCCATCTGCAGGCCTCTCCGAGCGTGCCTGACGGGTGTCAGACTAGCCCCCTCAGCTGCCTGCCAGGTGTCCCCTGACCTGACTCGGTTTCAGGAGATGTTGCGGAACCCCGGGTCACCATGGGTCAGAGTTGTGGTTTATTTTGCAGGAGGCTGTGTTACTCATTCCTCCGTGAAGGCCCCACGCTAGGCACTCAGCACAGGGCCACTGCCGAGTTCATCATCATCGGCAGGAGCTGGTGGGGAGGGGTCTGCAGGGAGCTGTGTGGGCCACAGGGAGCCTGGCCCCTCTTACTCGGCAGGAGGAAGGACAGAGGGGCCCAGAATGACACGTGCCTGGGGGTGTCTCTTCTCCATAGTTGGTCACCAAGACGGTGAAGGCAGGGGCTGTGGGCCAGGTGAGCTCACTCCTCACAAACCCTGGGAGGAGGAGCCTGCGGGCACCCTCCCTGCACAGGTGCAGGGACAGAAAGGAAGCTCCAAGGTCACACAGCCAGGCAGAGGGAGCCGCCCGGGGTGTGGGGGTTTTCCAGGATCCTTCTGTTACCGATTTTTAATTTAGTTCCACTGGGGCCGGAGAGCGTTCTCAGTAGTACTTTCATCCTTGCCATCCTTCAAGGCTTGTTTTCTTTTTCTTTTTCTTTTTTTTTCTTTTCTTTCTTTTTTTTTTTTTTTTTTGACAGGCAGAGTGGACAGAGAGAGAGACAGAGAGAAAGGTCTTCCTTTGCCGTTGGTTCACCCTCCAATGGCCGCCGCGGCCGGCGTGCTGCGGCTGGCGCACCGCGCTGATCCGATGGCAGGAGCCAGGAGCCAGGTGCTTTTCCTGGTCTCCCATGGGGTGCAGGGCCCAAGCACCTGGGCCATCCTCCACTGCACTCCCTGGCCACAGCAGAGGGCTGACCTGGAAGAGGGGCAACCGGGACAGAATCCGGCGCCTCGCCCGGGACTAGAACCCGGTGTGCCGGCGCCGCAAGGCGGAGGATTATCCTAGTGAGCCGCGGCGCCGGCCCTCAAGGCTTGTTTTCTAGCCCAGCACCCGGTCTCCTGGTAGATGGTCCGTAGGCGCTCCCACTGGGTGTGTATCCGCGGTCGGCAGGGGCAGTGCTCTGAAACACTGACCGTGTCATTCAGGCCTCTGCACCCTGACTGACCTCCTGTCTGCGTGTCCTGTCTGAAATCGGCACCTGCTGTGAGGAGCGGATGCGCCTGTTTCTCTTTCCAGTTCTGTGGGTTGGTGCTTTCCGGACGTTGCTGCTCTGTGATGAGCTGCACAGGTGCTTGGGCCTGAGGTCCCCTCAGTCGGTGCCATCGCCGTCCTAGGATGTGTCCCCTCGCTCCTCGCTCGGAAGTTGCCGTTACTTGGCAGTGATAGGGGGAGGTTCTCCGGCTCTCTTGGCTTCATGTTGCACCGTCTGTCCTTGCCTTTCACTGCGGCCTTCCCAGATGTTAAAGTGTGTCTCAGAATCCTCACAGCCTTGGGCCCTGGGGCAGGAGTTGGGGAACTTTATCTGTCTTGATCCAGATTGTGAATGTTTTTGACTCTGCCGGCCACGTGGTGCTTGTCACAGCTTCTCTGCTCTGCCACCATGAGAACAGCCACAGGCTCCAGCATTGTGGCACATAGTGGGTAAAGCCATGCATCCCATATGGGTGCCGGTTCAAGTCCTAGCTGCTCCACTTCCATCCAGTTTCCTGCTTATGTACCTGGGAAGGCAGTGTAAGATGGCCCAAGTGCCTGGACCCCCACACCCATGTGGGAGACTAACCTGGAAGAGGCTCCTGACTCCTGGCTTGAGCCTGGCCCAGCCCTGGCTGTTACAACCATTTGGGGAGTGAACCAATGGATGGACAATCTCTCTCTCTAACTCTGCCTTTCAGATAAATAAAATAGATCTTAAAAAACAAACAAAAACAAGAAAGCAAATGTGGCTGTGCTGACACCAAAATGTGAATTTCATATTCTATGTTGTGAATCATGACATAGAGAGGGGGTCTTCCATCTGTTGGTTCACTTCCCACATGGCTGTAATGGCCGGGGCTGGGCCAGGCTGAAGCCAGGAGCCGAGAGCTTCTTCCGGATCTCCCACATGGGTGCAAGGTCTGCTGCTTTCCCAGGCAGATTAGTAGGGAGCTGGATTAGAAGTGGAGCAGCATCGGCCGGCGCCGCGGCTCACTAGGCTAACCCTCTACCTGCAGCGCCGGCACCCCGGGTTCTAGTTGCAGTCAGGGTGCCAGATTCTGTCCCGGTTGCTCCTCTTCCAGTCCAGCTCTCTGCTCTGGCCCAGGAGTGCAGTGGAGGATGGCCCAAGTGCCTGGGCCCTGCACCTGCATGGGAGACCAGGAGGAAGCACCTGGCTCCACCTGGTTCCTGGCTTTGGATCGGCGCAGTGCGCCAGCCGTAGCAGCCACTTGGGAGGTGAACCAACGGAAAAAGGGAGACCTTTCTCTCTGTCTCTCTCTCTCACTGTCTAACTACCTGTCCAAAAAAAAAAAAAAAAAAAAGTGGAGCAGTGTCACCATACTGGCTCCTCAATTTTTGCCTTTTTTTTTTTTTTTTAAAAGGTCTATTTATTTACTTGGAAGTCAGAGTTACAGACAGTGAGAGGGAGAGACAGAGAGAGGCCTTCCATCTGCTGGTTCACTCCCCAGATGGCCGCAACGGCTGGAGTGGGCAAGGCTGAAACAGGACCCAGACCTCCATCCAGGTCTCCCATGTGGGTGCAGAGGCCCAAGCACTTGGGCTGTGGTCCACTGCCTCCCCAGACGCAGTAGTGGGGGCTGGATCTGAAGCAGAGCAGCCAGGTCACAAACTGGCCTGATAGGGGATGCTGACACTGCAGGCGGCGGCTTACCCGCTGGGCCGCAACACCTTCCATGTCTTCCTGCCAAGCCCGCGTGACAGGTCCACTGCCTCCCGTCCCCGAGTGTGCTCAGTGTGGTTCCGGTGTGTGTTTCCACGTGCTTGTCCGCTGACTCCAGCACCACCATCCATTCCAGGCCTGCGTCTGGGGAGTGACTCTTGCTCACTGGTCACATTTTCATACACTGTGTGTGGCTGGTCATGTTGGGACAGATGATGGATGCTGTGGGATTTACACTCTCCTCTTTGTTGAATGCATTTCTTTATAAAATGCATTCTGGCAGGCAGTTGAGTTGTGAATTATTTGGATCCTTCCAGGCTGTTTTTCAGCTCTTTGAGGGCAAATCTAGCGTTGCCTTTAGTCTGGGACTGGCTGCACCTGTTTCTAATGTGCCTCCCGCTGGAGTCTCCCCTGAGCATCTCATGCATTCATTCCTCCCTGCTCAGGCTGTAGGGAGTGTAGCAGCTCACAGCCCTCTGTGAGCCTGGGACTTTGCTTCTTGGACATTCTGACTTTCCAGCTCTGTGGAGCTTCACCCCAGTCACGTTCAGGTTCCTACCTAGCCAGAGACTTGAGGAGTCACCAAATTTCTTTCTTTTTAAAAAAGATTTATTTATTTGAAAGAGAGAGTTACAGAGAGGCAGAGAGAGAGAGAAGTCTTCTGTCTGCTGGTTCACTCCCCAAATGGCCGCAACAGCTGGAGCTGGGCTGCTCCAAAATCAAGAACCAGGAGCTTCTTCCGGGTCTCCCACATGGATGTAGGGGCCCAAGGACTTGGGCCATCTTCCACTGCTTTCCCAGGCCATAGTAGAGAGCTGGATCAGAAGTGGAGCAGCCTGGACTCGAACCAGTGTCCATATGGGATGCTGGTACCACAGGCGGCGGCTTTACCCTGGGCCAGCACCAGCCCTGGGCCTCCAGATTTCTGGAGCCCTCTTAGGAGCCATCCGGGCTTCCCTTCTTGGTGCTGTGGCAAACAGAGCCCAGTGGTGCCTCCTGCACAGCCACGGGGCTTGCCTTGTTTCTCTTGCCCCTGGAGCCACAGTCCTGAGCTGCGGGTTGCCGGCTGCCGTCTTTAGATAGTTTTCTGTATTCCGCGCGGTTCTCCAGCTCTTTCAGTGGGCCGGGGTCTCCAGGCTGCGGAAGCAACACTTAAGCCCAGGCAGTCTGCTCCAGAATTCCTCACTCCGGCCTTTCCCCTCATCAGCAGTCACCGAAGCTTCTGGTCAGGGGTGGGGTGTGCACCGTCAGTGGGCAGGGTGGCAGGGGCTCCAGCCTGCAGCTCACCCCTCCCACCCCTCAGGTGGGCCTTCACCTTGATCATCATCTCCTCCTACACGGCCAACCTGGCCGCCTTCCTCACCGTGCAGCGCATGGAGGTGCCTGTGGAGTCGGCCGACGACCTGGCGGATCAGACCAACATCGAGTACGGCACCATCCACGCGGGCTCCACCATGACCTTCTTCCAGGTGGGGCTGCCCAGACCCAGGCCTGGCGCTGGGGGTCAGAGGGCGATCGTCAGTGACAGGCAGCACATGTGGGATCTGAGGCCATCAGTCCAGGGTGCTGCAGGACATGGGCTGGCAGGGAGGGGAGGGCCCTCGGGGGAAGGAGCCTGTCTCTAGGGACTTTGCCTAATGGAAAGAAATGAAAGTGACTGACAGGGAGGTTGGGTCAAAGACTGGAGAGGCCTCAGACACCCGGATGCGGGCACTTTAACCGGGCCCTGGACGTGGGGATGTGGGAATGGTGACCATTTAGAGCTGAGAGTTCCCCTGTGGCCGGGATGAGGCAAACTGAAGCTGGGTGGGCCAGAGACGGGGAGATGAGGGAAGAGGCGAATGCTAGGTCTCCCAGGCTGGGGCTGGGGAGCGGGCGGTGGGGTGGGGGGGTGGGGGGGTGGCCTCTGTGAGTGACTGGGCGTCTGGAAGGAGGAGCAGCGTCTCCCTCTCGTGGGGAGACCCCTGGAGGGTAGGGGACAGGGCTGAGAGGAAGGGGTGGCGAGGCCCTCACATTACCCGCCCCGCCCCGCGTTCCCTGTCCCCAGAACTCGCGGTACCAGACGTACCAGCGCATGTGGAACTACATGCAGTCGAAGCAGCCCAGCGTCTTCGTCAAGAGCACGGAGGAGGGCATCGCCCGCGTCCTCAACTCCCGCTACGCCTTCCTGCTCGAGTCCACCATGAACGAGTACCACCGGCGCCTCAACTGCAACCTCACCCAGATCGGGGGCCTCCTCGACACCAAGGGCTACGGCATCGGCATGCCGCTGGGTACGGGGGCCTCGGCAGTCGGGAACCTGGGCAGGCTGGCTGTGTCGTGTGTGGCCCTGGGCAGGCGACAGCAGCGTCCCGAACCTCACACCTTCAACCTGCACGGCCGGGCCTCGGGGCAGTCACTTCCAGCCTTGCAGGGTTCGGGAGAATCAGTGAGACTCCGGGTGCCCCTGGGTGTGAGTGGGCCTTGAGGCTGCCTCCCCCATTGGCCCGAGGGCCCCTTGAGGGTGAAGACATGGTTTTATTTGCTCTATAGTCTGCACCAAACCCCACAGTCTGGCTCAGAACAGGTGCTCAAAAACTGCCTGTTGGACTGATGGGGGGAGGCAGGCAGGGGAGAGGAGGGAAGCAGGGATCTGCCGGGGGACGTGGCTGTGCTGTTAACACCGCAGGGCCTGCCACTGCGGCCCTTGGCACTGGATCCCTATGATGATGCCTGGGGCAGCTGGCTCCCGCAGAGCACCTGACCCCAGGGCACAGCAGCTTTGTAAGGAGTCCTGCTGTTCAAGGAAGCAGTGTGGCCTGGGGCTTGGAGTACAGGTCCTGGAGTCACCGCCTGGATTCAAACTCACTTCCCTCCCTACTCAGTGCGTGACCTCAGGGGAGAGAATCGCCTTCACCTCCCCCATTCAGAACCTCCTTGCCTGTGGTGGGAGTGCCTGCCTCACTCATCAGTGGGACACTGGAGTTAATTTCTAAATTTTAGAATTTTTAAAAATTTGAGGGGCAGCGCTGGCATCCCATATGGGCGCCGGTTCGAGTCCCAGCTGCTCCACTTCCAATCCAAGTCCTTGGGCCCCTGCACCCATGTGGGAGACCTGGAAGAAGCTCCTGGCTTCTGGCTTTGGATCAGCACAGCGGATTGGCACAGCTCTGGCTGTTGCGGTCATCTGGGGAGTGAACCAGCGGATAGAAGATCTGTCTGTCTGTCTCTCTCTCTCTCTCTCTCTCTGTCTCTCTGCCTCTCCTCCTCTCTGTGTGTAACTGTGACTTTCAAGTAAAAAATAAATATTTTTAAAAATTTATATGAGAAGGCCGGCGCCACGGCTCACTAGGCTAATCCTCCGCCTAGCGGCGCCGGCACACCGGGTTCTAGTCCCGGTCGGGGCGCCGGATTCTGTCCCGGTTGCCCCTCTTCCAGGCCAGCCCTCTGCTGTGGCCAGGGAGTGCAGTGGAGGATGGCCCAGGTGCTTGGGCCCTGCACCCCATGGGAGACCAGGAAAAGCACCTGGCTCCTGGCTCCTGCCATCGGATCAGCGCGGTGCGCTGGCCGCAGCGCGCCGGCCGCGGCGGCCATTGGAGGGTGAACCAACGGCAAAAGGAAGACCTTTCTCTCTGTCTCTCTCTCTTTCACTGTCCACTCTGCCTGTCAAAAAAAAAAAAAAAAAATTTATATGAGAGGTAGAGTTACAGACAGAGGTAGAGACAGAGAGAAAAGTCTTCCATCCATTGGTTCACTCCCCAAATGGCTGCAACTGCCAGAGCTGCGCCAATCCAAAGCCAGGAGCCAGGAGCCTCTTCCGGTTCTCCCACGCAGGTGCAGGGGCCCAAGGAGTTGGGCCATCTTCTGCTTTACCAGGCCATAGCAGAGAGCTGGACTGGAAGAGGAACAGCTGGGACCTGGTGTGGTGCTGCAGGCGGAAGCTTAGCCCACTGCCCCATAGCCCTGGCCCCAAGTTAATTTCTGTAAACCAGAGTCTAGCACACAGGTGTCTGGTTCCTGGTCCGTGGTGAAGCTCAGAGAGGACGCAGGGACAGGATGGGATGTGGAGAGTGTTTGGGGCCCCGGGAGGGTGGCATGGCGCAGAGGGGAGGTGCAGGGGGACTCGCCAGCTCCACAGATCACCAGCAGCATCTTGGGACCCCACGTGCTAACAGTAGCTCGGAGCAGGTTAAGGGGATGAGCCTGGTGGGCAGGGGTGCTTCGTGTTCTTTAAATAAAGTGGCCAGAGAGGGGCCCCTGGGGAGCTGGCAGGAAAGCAGAAGGGGTGAGCATTCCAGACAGAGGCAGAGGTCCTGAGGTGGGGCTGAGCTTGGCAGATGCTGGGGTCCAGGGGTGCCCGCAGGGGTGGGGCCAGCGGATGCAGCTCGGAGGCTGAGGGGAGGACCTGGGACACATTACTTCCTCCAGGGGCCCCTCTGGCTGCCGAGTTGAGAAGAGACAGGGTGGGGGTGAGGAGAGGCCCCCAGGGGCATCTGTGGGCTTGGGGAGGGCGGGCCCAATGGCCAACCCCTGCCCTGCCCGGCCCAGGCTCCCCGTTCCGGGATGAGATCACGCTGGCCATCCTGCAGCTCCAGGAGAACAACCGGCTGGAGATCCTGAAGCGCAAGTGGTGGGAGGGGGGCCGGTGCCCCAAGGAAGAGGACCACCGCGCCAAAGGTCAGCCCCACTGTGCCCACCGCGCCCTCCGGGTGGCCCCGGGCGGCCCCGCGCCCACATGCCTGACCCCGCGGTCCCGGCCTCTGCCTGCAGGCCTGGGCATGGAGAACATTGGCGGCATTTTCGTTGTGCTCATCTGCGGCCTCATCATCGCTGTCTTCGTGGCGGTCATGGAGTTCATCTGGTCCACTCGGAGGTCAGCAGAATCCGAAGAGGTGAGGAGTGCGCGGGCAGGGGCGGGGAGAGGCAGGCCATCCCTGGGGGGGGGGGGTCCCAGGAGGCAATGGGGATGCAAGGAGAGGAGGTGAGGGGGTGCAGGACGAAGGGTATGGAGGGGAAATGTGAGAAGCAAAGGCAAGAACGCAGCTGGGTGTGGCAGGAGGGGCGCGGCCCTGCCAAGCGGGCGCTGCTTCTGGTGCTCCCGGAACCTCCCCCCAGCTCCTCCCCTCTCTCGCCCAGTCTGACCTCATACCTTGCATCACACAGGCCCTGGCTCCTCTGGCACGCCGTCCCTCTCCTTCCCAAGGCCCCCATCCTGCAGCCCCCTCTTTGTCCCCTGCTCTGTCACTTGTCTTCCCTTTTTTGGGTCAAGCCCCCGTTGCGTGCCTGTTCCTCCTCTTGATCCAAACCCTCTTTGGACCCTTCCTCCCATAGCACCACCTGACTTCTCCCCGCCCCTGTGCAGGGTGCCAGGTCAGCTCCCTACCGTCTCCACCTTCTCTCCTCCCATGCTCTCTTACACCTGCTGCAAGCCAGCTTCTGACCTACCCAGCCACTGGGGCCACTCTTGTCACCAGGGACCTCCCTGTCTGGAATCCAGGGCCCAAGGAGGCAGTGGGCTGCAGCCCAGCCGACCCTCCGGCTCCTCAAAGCCCTGCCCTGGCTGCCTGCCCCTCAGTTGCCTCCTGCCTCTCTGGCCTCTCCTCTGTTGGGTTCCGTCCTCCCCCCAGCCTCTGTCTTTTGGAAACCCTCAGGACTCCCCATCCCTGGACGGCTTCCCTTCTTTGTCCATTTCCTTGGTGGTCCTGTCTCAAGGGCCATCTGTGGGCTGGTGGCCCCTGTGCTAGTCCTCTGTCCCACCTGTAACAGCTGAAACAGCAGCTTCTGTCACTTCACAGGAACCCAGGTGGTTGTGACCACCCTGGGTTTCCAGGAGGGGGGGCACCAGTCATGAGGCCAGTGGGGGCTTCTGTGGCCTGAAGGCTTGGCTGGGGCTGGAGGAGCCACATGGGAGGTGAGGTGATAGATGAGATGGAGGTGACTGAGGGGCCACGTGGAGAGGCCAGTGGTGGTGAATGGGGACTCGTGTTGCCGTGGCTCCTGAGAGCAGGGGCACAGCTCGCCGTCAGGGCCACAGGGCACACTCCACATTGAGTCAAGAGGCAGCAGGTGTGAGGGCACAGGAGTGTGGCATTGGCCAGTTAGAATGCTGGGGACGGCTGTGGTGGGGCACCTGGCCCTGGGTTGATTTAGGGCAGGGGAGATCCAGGTGTTGTGTGAGACTTAGGTAAAGACTTGATGTTGGTCAGTGTGCATAGGAGAGGCAGCCGAGCAAGCAAAGAGGGGGTGGTCAGCTCTGAGCAACGCCACCTCTCCCCAGCCCACAACTGTAAGAGGTCAGGACATCCTGAGACACAAGAAATAAAACCCACAGTGCGTGCACACGCGTGGCGGTTGGCAGGAGACCTCAGTTCCTCACGCAGGGGCCTCCCCATGGGGCGGCTTGCGTGTCCCTCATGCTGGCAGCTGGCATCCCCCAGAGCAAGGTCAAAGCCACCTGGTCAGCCGCCTGTTGGCCACGCAGACTGACCCTGAAACTGTGCCAGAGGGGATCGTGGCCAGCGGCAGGATGGAGCCTCCTACCCCAACCCTTGCAGGGGTGTCTCCCTGAACCCCGGGGGCTGTCCACAGGCATGCACACAGGGGTATGTTCCAGCCCTGGGCAGTGCCGTCCTGCTCCTCCCTGGCCTGCGTGCCCTGTATCTGATCCCTTGTAAATCCTATTGGCTCCACCTTCAAAATACACCCAGAATCCAGCCCCTCCTTCCATCACTCTGATCCAGCCACCGCCTTCTCCTGCCCGGATATTGCCACCTCCTCAGCGGCTCCCTGCTCAGCACAGATCCAGAGTGCCCCTACAAAGACACGGCAGGGCCACCACGGTGGCCCAGGAGCTTAAACACTGCTTGCAACACCAGCATTCCATACCGCAGTGCTGGTTCAAGGAAGTGTGGGTTTGAGTCCCGGGTGCTCTGTTTCCAGCTCCCTGTTAATGGCCTGAGAAAGCAGCAGAAGATAGCCTAAGTGCTTGGGGCTGTGCCACCCATGTGGGAGACCCTGAAGAAGCTCCTGGCTTTGGCCTGGACCAGCCCCAGCCATTGCAGCCACGTGGGGATAGGAGTGTGCATGCTCCAGTGGATAGGAGTGTGCATGTCCTTCCCTCCCTCCCTGCCCCTCTGCCTCTCGAATAAATACATCTTACACCTTACACACACACGCGCACCCATGGCCCCTGCTTAAGCCTCTCACAGGCCTCATCTGACTCGAGTTAAAGCCAAAATCCTTCTTCCATGGCCGCACCCCCACCCCCGCCCCTCCTCCGACCTCATCTGTCTCAGCCCCATGACCTTTGCCTGCTGTGCTGTGTCCGGGTGCTGGCTCCCGGGTCTCCACGGGACCCTCCTCTCTGGGGGGTCTCCAGATTCCTCACCACTCCCCACCCACACCCCTGATGGCTCTTCCCCATATAATTTCTCCCCAGGGCACTCTCCCCGGCACACCCCACACACAGCTGCACCGGTTACTTTCTAAAGATTCTGTATCTGTGTATGTATTTGAAAGATGGAACAACAGAAAGGAGGAGAGACAAAGAGGGAATCTGCCATCCACTGGTTTGCTCCCCAGATGGCCACAACAGCCGGGTCTGGGCCAGGCTGAAGTCAAGAGCCAGGAGCTCCACCCGGGTCTCCCACGTGGGTGCAGGGGCCCAAGCACTTGGGCCGTCTTCCACTGCTTGCCCAGGCCACAGCAGGGAGCTGGGTCAGAGGCGAGCAGCTGGGGCTGGAACCGGCGCTCTGGGGTCACAAGCCGCAGCGGGCCGCGGACACCCTTGGCATATCCTGTGTCTGCTCTCCACGGCGGCGTGCTCCGGGACCAGGGTTTCTGTGTTATCCTCTGCTCGTCCCTAGGGCTAGGCACACAGTAGGCGCTCAGTGAATGCTCCCTGCGGTGGGAAGCACTAGAGAGGAGCCTGCGCAGGAGGGGAGGGCGGAGGCCGGTGAGGGAGAGCCCTGGGAAGCGGGGCGGGGTGCGGCCCCTGACGCCCGCGCCGCCCGCAGGTGTCCGTTTGCCAGGAGATGCTGCAGGAGCTGCGCCACGCCGTGTCCTGCCGCAAGACGTCGCGTTCTCGCCGGCGCCGGCGCCCGGGCGGCGCGAGCCGGGCCCTGCTGTCGCTGCGCGCCGTCCGAGAGATGCGGCTCAGCAACGGCAAGCTCTACTCGGCCGGCGCGGGCGGCGACGCGGGCGGCGCGCACGGGGGCCCGCAGCGCCTCCTGGACGACCCGGGGCCGCCCGGCGGCGCGCGCCCGCCCGCGCCCACGCCCTGCACCCACGTGCGCGTCTGCCAGGAGTGCCGGCGCATACAGGCGCTGCGGGCCTCGGGGGCCGCGGCGCCCCCGCGGGGCCTGGGCGCCCCCACCGAGGCCACCAGCCCGCCCCGGCCGCGGCCTGGCCCTGCAGGCCCCCGCGAGCTGGCCGAGCACGAGTGACCACGGGCGGGGCCGGGCCGGCTCCCGGACTGAGCGCAGGGAGGCGGCCCGCCCCTGGCCCCGGCCGCTCCCTCTGGCCCAGCGGGCGAGGGACAGGACTTCTGCCCCGGAACCCGGGACACGGCGACTTCGCCTTCGCTTGGCCGTGAAGTCCAAGGCCCGGCTCCGGAGCCTGCCTGCGCCCCCCAGTGGACTCGCAAGAGGGCGCCGCGGACGCCCGCACTCCGCTCCGCTGTGGGCGGCTGGCGTGCAGCCACTGAGGACTGCAGGGACCGTGCCCAGCGCGGAAAGCCGCCCGCGGGGAGGACCCCGGGACGCGGCTGCCCAGGCCCCCCGAGACTCGACGCGACCCTCCACGCTTCTGGAGGGCGAGGGCCTCTGGACAGACGGGTGTCCCCAGGCGCCCCTCTTCTCTTTCTCTCTTTTTTGGGGGGAGAAACCTCGGAATTTCTATGAAGCCCCCCAGGGAGGGGGTCAGTTGGGCCCCCATCCCTTTCCCTGCCATATCTCAGTCCCTGTTGGAATAAAAAAAGAACAAAACCCCAAATCTGGGGATATCCGGGTCTCATTTCCTGGGGCTCAGGGCAGCGAAGGCTTGGGCCCCCAGAGTCGGCTGAGAACCGCAGCCTCCGCCCTAAGGCCCGCCCACGGCCAGCAGCAGGTCAGCCCAGGTCAGCCCAGGTCCCGGCGGCCGGCCTCTCCCCGCTGACCTTCTCTCAGGACAGAGGGAGGCTGCGACAGAGACCCTGAGACAGATGGAGAGAGGCGCCGGATCTGGAGAGCCGCAGACACCGGAAACGGAGACGCAGGAAGAAGCCAGATGGGGTGGGGGAGGGGAGCGGCCGGGAGCCGTTCCCCGAGTGGGAGCCGCGGGTGGCACCTACGGTGGGGGCCGTGTGCGGGAGGGGCCCGGCGGCTGTGCCGCGGTGCACGTGTGTGCGCGTCCACGAGGCCCTCGGCGGCTTTCCGTGCCCGAGCTCCGTGTTTCTGCCGAAAATGTACCTGTGCAGCCCCCGGGATCCCACAGGGCGGGCCCGGCAGGGGCTGCCTCCGGTCCCCGCCCCGCTTCTTCCGCGGAGGCTTCTGTGGAGACTGCAGCTGAGAAAGGACAAGTGAAGGTCACCGGCAAAAAAAAAAAAAAAAAAAAAAAAATGAGGCCGAGCTGAGAGAGGAGGGATGGAGCGATGGGGAGGGAGACAAGCGGATGAGCGAGGCGGGGGCGAGACGAGGCGGGCGGCGGGGCAGAGGTGAAAGGGGTGGGGTGGGAAACGGGCCGGGGTGAGGGGCGCCGGGAGAAGCTAAAAGGAGACCTGAGGGGACCCGCGGCGAGCAAAGCCGGCCTGGGAGGGTGCGGGAGGGAGCGGACAGAGGCCGGCCAGAGCCCGGGAGCTGTCCGTTCAGCACCGCCTGCTCCACCGTCCCGTGCCTGCCGGCCTCCAGCAGTGTCAGGGGTCAGGCCACAGCCGCGAGACCCGTGGGCACTTGCCGAGCTGCCTCACCCTTCCTGTCCGGTCTCCACCTGGCCCTCTCTGTGTCCCAGACACTGCCGTGTGTGTGTCCTGCAGGGGCAGGTGCTGAGCCAGCACCCCCGACTCTGCCATCTCTCTCTCTCTCTCTCTCTCTCTAGTCTCCACATCTCTTGTGCAGGCCCGAATCAATGTCTCTGCCCTTGGGCTGGACTCTGCCGAGGTGACCAGAACATGACCGCACACATCGCTAGTCTCCCCCCTGCTGTCACGGTAGCATGAGGCTCCTCTTCTGTGGGGGTCCTCTCGCGTCTGAGCCCCTCTCCCCCGCGGTCTTTCTGCCCCCCTTCTCTGGTCTATCTTGAGTCCCCCTGGTTTTCCAAACCGCTCTCTCTCTGGCTCGCTCACTGCCCGTGGCTGTCACCTTCGCCAGTGTTCCTCTTGCTGTGTGCGTTTTCCCAGCTCTGTCTTTGCAGGTCTATCTGTGTCTGTCTCTCTGGTTCTGGACCGTGTGTGCTTGGTTCTTCTCTGTGTCTCCTTCCGTCTCTGCCAAGCTCCCCGTCCCCTCCATTCCTGTGACCTTCCTAAGTCTTTCCTCCCCCCCACCCCCACTTCCGCAGAGCCGCGAGCTGGAAGCACGATGCACAGTCATCGGTCTTGCCAGGCTAGTGTCTGAGGAGGGTGCCCGTAAGGGGGATGTGAGCCTGTGTCTGGGGTGGGGTGTGGGGGGCCGAGGCTATCCCCAGCCCAGCTGGAGAGCAGGTGGAGTGTAGAATCGCCCACCTCCTGGGGCTTCTCTCCCACCCTCCACGATGCAGGGCTACACCTCCAGACCAAGGTGTGGGGCAGGAGGGGACAATATGGTGACCAACTCTGCCTCCCCAGAGAAGGGGACCGAGTTGAGGAAGGGGCGAGGCACCTGGGTTAGAAGATGTGGCTCCTCCCCCTTTCCAGTCTCCATGGCAACAGGCCGGTCTGCAGGCCCAGCCTCTGCTGCAGAGTCAGCCTTCCCCGTTACCATGGCAACAAGGGACAGCGGGCTGGATGGGGCCGGGTCAGAGTACAGGGTGGGGATGCGGCTGCGGGTGTTGGGGAGGCCTCCCTGCCGCTCCTCCTGTTTGTCCCCGTCTCTGTCCCTGCCCACGCCCCATATCTCTATGGCTCTGAGTCTCTTTGTTCCTGGTCTCACACCCTGGCCGTCAGCCTCTCTTCACTTTCCCTGAGCAGGCCTGTAACCTTCACCCACCACCCACATACACCAGCCTCCCTCCCCACCCCTCGCCCAACCCCCCAACTCCACCCCCCTTCTGAGAAAGCCGTGTGCTCAGGGTCTCTGTGTCCCTCCAGCACCCCCAGGGAGGGTCTGGGGTGTTCCTCCTGAGGGCCCTTCCGCGGTGGGTGCTGGGGGCATGTGGCATGTGGGGTGCAGCAGAGGTGCGATGTAGGGAGGTGTGGGGTGGCGGGGTACAACTTGTCTCTGTGAATTCTTGCGCTGGGGTGTGTGCGTGCACCTTTTGGTCTGTCATTCACAGAAAGCAACGATTTGGCAATTTGGCACTGTGGGCGTTTGCTCACACCCAGGCACGCTGGGGAGCGGTGTGTGTGAGGCTGTGATCACACAACAGTGTCCACACTGTGGGTGGGTGTGTGGAGGCAGCGTGAGGCCTGTGTGTGTGTTGGTGGGTGGGTTCACGGGGCCGTGTGGTGTGTGCGTCTGCCATGCACGGCGTAGCTGTGGTTGATTGTCTTGCGGTGTGCAAGGCGTGTGCCCTAGGTGTGTTTAATCTCTGGGGCTGTGGCTGTGAGGGTCCAGACTGGTAAGGTGACACTGGGGGTATCCTGGGGCTCCCTGCTGCAGGCCCTGCTGTGTGTGTCTCCGTGCACAGCTGCAGTGGGGGGCAGCCCTCAGTGAGGGGTCCCTGGCTCTTTGCAGCACCTCTCCTCAATCCCCCCGCTCCAGGGGTCTACCTTGCTCTCCCTCATCTCCTCCCGCACAAGTCTCCAGGTGCCCCCACTGCAGAGCGGGGTGCTCTGGGCCCCTGCCTCACTGCGGCGATGCACAGGGCTTCCCCCTCCCCCCGCAGCGCGCCCCTCTCCTTTGTGGCACACGCCACAGTGAGGGGTTTCTGGGGCTCTCCCTTCCTCAGCATCCCTTCCCCCCAAAGGAGTCCGCACCCCACGCCGAGGGGGTCTCCAGGTCCCCTGTTGGGAGGGGACTCCCGGGTCCCCCCCACACACCCCGTCCCAGGGCTCCCCCTCCCCGGCGGCGGCGCCACTTTGCGGAGACTGGGGGGTAGGAGAGCGGGGGGATGGGGGCGGACAGCTGCAGTACCGGGGGCGGGGCCACGGGCCGTCCGTCAGCGCGGCGGCGCCCCCGATTGGCCAGCGCCGCTCCCCCCCGCGGGCGCGGGCATATGAGGAGGCGGAGGCGGCGGCCGCCGCAGCCTCTGCGCGGTGGGAGCGGCCGACGGACGGACGCGCTCCGACCGAGGCGCGGGCGCTGCAGAGCCCCAGCCGAGCCCGCCCCGAGCCCGCGCCCGAGCCCGCCCCTGTGCCCGCGGAGCCGCCAAGATGGGGGTAGGTGCTGGGGCCGGCCGGGGCTGCGTGCGGGTGACCCTGAGGGGTCCCGCGACACTGGGGGCACGGGGGCTGCGGGACTGGCCCAGGGTGGGCGGCCCCGGGTGCTGGTGCCGCGGGCGCGGGCGCGGGGGCGGCCCTGGACGTCTCTGCTGACCTTGTGCGAGTCGCTGCGTGTGCGTGTGCATGTGCGCCCCGGCCCTGCCCGCGGCGGCGTGGCCCCCGCGGGGTCTGCAGGTCTGCCCCGTGCCTGGGTGTGCCAGGGCCCCCCGGCCCGGTGGGGACAGGTCCAGGCTGCGGGACAGGCGACAGATGACCTCTTTCTCCTTCCAGGCCCGAATGGGGGGGCTCCGCAGTGGGGCCGCAGGGTGTCTGCGTCCGGATGAGGCGCGCACCTGGGGCACTGGGGGCAGGGAGAGAGCGTGCGGGGAGTGTGCGTGCCTGGCTCTGCCCTTTGCCTCTGTGTCCGTGTGTCCTTGTCTGAGTCTCTCCTGCAGATGCCGCCTCCTTCCCTGGCTGAACACCTGGTCCCCGCCGCAGCCCTGGACTCCTCCCTGCGTGTCTGGGGCGGGGGAGTGGGGGGAGGAGGGGGGGTTGGGGTAGGTGGGGTGAAGAGAGAAGGTCGGGGTGGGGTGGGGGATGGGGAGAAAGATGGCGGAGGAAGGCTGAGGGGCCTGAGGGTGGGGGTGGGGCTGCAGATCTTTCTCTTGGGGTGAGTGGGGGGCGGGGGGCAGTGTTGGCTGTCAGGTAAGTGGGGGGAGCGGTGGGAAGATTGGGGAAGAGGACTGAATGGAGAAGGGAGCGGGAGGGAGAGGCAGACATGAGAGCCCGACACCGTGGACAGACAGTGAGGGAGACACAGTGAGAACCCTGGGCTGAGATGAAAATCCAGAAACAGCCAGGGAGAGGAGGTGGGGGCACGGGGGAGGTGAGGGAGACACCCTCAGAGCTGGCCTCAGGCACCCGGGCTTGGAGGGGAGGCGCAGCCCGGAAGGCGAGGAGCCGCAGCGGCGGCCACAGTGAGACAGGCATGCGTGCCCCCCCGCCCCCCCCCCAGGAGCAGCCTCCTCCCCGCGGTGCGCCCATCTGGGCCTCCTGCCTTGCCTGGGAAAGCCTCGGCCCCCCTCTAGCAGATGGAAGCCGCCCCCGAGGGAGTCTGGTCAGCAAGGGCACGGGGGAGCCCAGGAGCCCCTGCAGGGCCCCGAGTCACCCCTGTCTCCTCAGATTCAGGAGTGCAGACCCCAACCCCCTCTTCCTCAGGGCCCTGGGGCCTGGGGGCTCTGCCCTTCCTCTCTCAGAACCCCAGTTCCTCCTCCCCCAGACCCAGGAATCCAGGCCTGAGCCCTCCCCCTCCAGATGCAGCGTCCAGTCCTCCTGCTGCACCCTAGTTCTCACAGGGACCCAGACATCAGCTCCCAGCATTCCCAGCGGTGCCCCTTACTTTCTGTCCGCCGTCCACCTCATCTGCAGAGGCCGCAGGGCGGTGCAGGAGAGGCCTCGCGGAGACGCAGCGC